ATGCATAAAAGTTGAATAAAAATTCTTCCGTTTGCATCGAGTGAACGGTTATTCATCGATTGCCGTTTATTAATTAACTATAAATTGAAATGAATTCCCTCTGCCTTTCGCTTTCGATTCAATTATTGGTGGTAAAACAAAACAAAATATTTACAAGCGAATTCATTTTTATAGAAAACAATATTTTTGTTTTGTTTTTTTACAGCACAACACGGGGGCAATTAGTGAAGAATAAAACAAGGTTTACAAAAAAGGGCTGAACATTAAACGTGTCCTACTTTCATACGGCGATTCCCAATAAATCGTTAAATTGTTGCCGAAGGATTAAAGGTTTCACTGTGCGTATACTTAATGCAGACCAACATATTAAGTATACGCATTTATGTTAGCTTAACAAGTGTGGAATCAAATGCTTAATTTTTCAAATTATTATTGCTATTACATTTTTATAATTTAATTAATATCAAATTAGGGTCAACAACTTTCGATTAACTCTGTATTTATAGAGAAAATAAGGAAGATATCACTTCGGATCAGTATTCCTAACTTTCTGCTTTAAGTTATTACAAATATAAATTTCCACATACCTTGCATACACATACCATTCAATATTTATAAATTGGTTTTGGTGTTGAAATTTTTTTTGATAAGCAATTAATTGAAATATGATTGCCAATTAATCGCATACTTTCGATTACCCACAACCAGTGGCATATTTTTCGCATTTAAACTCATAATTAATGCATCTGGCAATAAAAAACTATAATAAAATAAAGGCAGGGTCTTTAATTAAAGTTTGTGTGGATAATGAAAATCCGTGTCGTTCGGTTTGACGGAATAAAAGAGCAAAGGCTTGTCACGTGCAGTCTAGTCTCAACAACTAATTGAAAGGCAGACGGAAGGAAAAGTAAACAAAATTTCCATGCTGAAAAAGATGACGAGAAGGCGGCCTACAAAGGATGGCGAAGGAAAGAGCAAGGAAGCAAGGAGGCAAGGAAGCAGGAACCAAGGAAGCAAGGGACCAGAAAAAAAGTGGAGCACAGCTGCCGACCGAGGACGTCCTTGCCCATCGTTATTATCCTGTTATCTCTCTAATAATGCCTCAGAGAGTTTGTAATTAAATTTTTCAAACACTGACGTCGCCGAGAGTGGCTGGCAGAGACTTGCGATCCGCAGACCAGATGCGAGGATACGACGAGCCGGCTATTCAGATACAGCAACACAGATACACAGATATACAGATACAAAGATACATAGATACAAGCGGCGGGATGGGGCCTTTCACATAAAGAACGTTACGCGCACGAGTGCCACTAGTTAGTTAGATAATAACGCTCAACGGAAGCCGCTCAAAGCGGAAACGGAAGTGAAGTTAAGCGCACTACTAAACAGATACTTCAACATGGCAAGGACGAGAAAGGGACAAAAGTGAAACGGGGGAAAGGGAAAAAGGGCAGCAGATGAAACAGGACAGATTGATTGACTGTTGGAGGGACGCGAAAGAAAAAAACCGATTGAAAAGGAATCCAAATGACTGAACGAACGAGTGGATTAAATTATGCTCAATGCAATTTTAAAGATGCGTTCTCTCTAGCTAGCATGTTTATGATAGTTTGCATTATTTCAAAAACTTTTTATTAAATAAATATATTAAGAAGCTTTACTTTTGTTTGATATAAAACCTTTACAAGAACTATTTTAATTTATTTTATTATCAGTTTTTATAGACTGGTATATTGAAGGCTGTGCATTTATATTTATAGAAATTTTTCTCTACATTCACATTTATATTTTCTAACTTTCCTAACTTTTTCTAGTCAAAATATTAAAGCAGAATTAATATTGACAGCTCAGTTGGGTTCCCTTTTGTGTTTATGTCTGAAGCTGATTATTGAGTTTTTAAGCTCTTTTCCCTTTTTGTTGGATTTTCATTTTGAATGTATGCGGGGCTTCCAACGCACACTAATACAAATTAGATCCGCAGGACGCTTAGGTCCTTGTGGGAGGGAGATGGAGTCAGTCTGGCAGCGTTCGTCCCTCTCCCTCTCGCCAGTGAAACCGCAGACTGGCAACGCAACAGTCAAGTCACGTCAAAGGCAGTCTGTCTCCCTCGCTCATTTCCCCTTTTCCGCTTTTCCGTCTGCGTATTTCATTTCACTTTGAATTCGTCCGATGTTCTATTTAAATGGTTACGTAATTGCATAATTATGGGCAAATGTAAGTTGAAACTTGTGGTTTGTCTCGCTCTTTTGTAAACAAGAGTTTCACAAAGAATTTCGTTATTTGTTGTGGGGGAGATTTTATTCGGAAAAAGCATTGAAGGGAGGTCACTGAACTGCCGAGGAACTTTGCAGCTTGAGCTTAGCAGGAATTCCGATGGTAGGGGATGCTCCATTCGGAATATAAATGACACTCATAACTCAGGTTTTAGAATAGCGAAATACATTTTGGGGTGAAAATACGGGGGAAACGGGATTCTTAAGTAGAGATAAACCGAAGATATATCTTTAAACACAGTAAATTGGGACCATTGTTTATACTTTATGGTTTTAAATTATCACACTTTAAAGAAATAAATATACAAGTAAACAGTATGGCATTCAGTTTTAAATAACTTTTAAAGTCTAAAAAAACTGATCTACAAGTACATTTCCTGCCTAGCAATCCTCATTCATTCCACTTATCCCATTCCCTTAGAATAAGAAATCAACCCCAGATGTCAAGGATTTAATTAAATGCTATAAATCAAATGCCTGACAACTTTATGCAAATACTGTTTGGCCATTTTTAGCCTCAGGTCAAAACGCATAGCACAAGAGCTAACATTTACACATTTAAAAAACCAACATAGCAAAATAAAATGCAAAATGCAATTTTTTTCTAAAATGTTTAAGGACAACAGATAGCAAGGCATGGACAGCCAGGAATGTTTTTTAATCTCCCCTCACGTTTTTCAATTAAAAGCCCGTTTCCTTTCTCCGGTCTTCCATTTTATCTCCTTGCGTTTTCCCCAATTCTCACGGTCCTTTGCTGTCAAAAGACGACGCGTGAAAAAACGCCAGCAAGAAAACGCACTCGCGTTTATTTCCGCTAGGCGACCGCGTCGGCACGTGATTTGCGACGAATTTCCATTTTTGTTGATTTCTGGTGTTGTTTGTTTCCCCGCTTGCGGGCAGCGATTGGCAATTTCATTTTGCGGTCTAACATTTATGCAATACATTTTTAAACGCACTCGAACCGTATTTTTGTGTGCAAAATTGGAATAAAACTTTTGTACAATATTTAATTTCATTTTTCGCTGTCGGTTGTGTGGCCGATTTTGGCAATTAAAATCGAAAATTTTCTACTTTGTTTTGAATTTTAAAGTTAAACGATTAAATACTTCAAACTGTTTTGCACAAAAAGACGGAAAATTGTAAACAATTTATTTGAATTTAAATTTATCTAGTCTGTTAGGCATATTAATAACACTTAGCACTTAATATACTAAATATCAAGCTAAAAATCAACTTTAAACCAAAAATAATTTTCACATCTTTTTCTCAGCCGAAATCATTTTCAAATTTGTTATTAAATTGCCTGAATCTGGACCAGCAAGATAACAAAAACACTCACAAATTATGCACAGACAATAAAAACGAATCGAGGTTCCACTTCGCCACCATCGCACACTCCTCATATTTTTGTTTTTCTCAGGCAAGAGCCGCCAGCTGCTACCCCGAAGAAATCAAAACACTTATCAAATATGCATTGCGCATATTAAAAATCAATTAAATATTTACACAAACACACAAAATGGCGGCGGCCGAAAGCACTTAAAAATGACTGCCACAACAACAACAATGCTTCCTCTACATTTAACAAAGGCAGCGAACACTGTAATGTAATTGAGGCAGGAGCAGATTTACAAGGAAGAATTAAATTAAAAATTTATAGTGACTCAGCTGTTGTTGTACAGAGTCAAGAAATGCAAAATTAAATTTTAAAGCTAATATTGGCTAATTTTTTTAAAGGTAATGTGAAAGTCATCAGATTCTGAGTTTAAATTTAACAATATAACAGTTCAAAAAAAATTCATTTTTAAAGAAGTATTTCTTAAAAGTTCGGTATCAATATAAAAATGTATATAATTCTTAAGTGAAGTCGAACCAAATAATAGAAAACATCTCCAGAATAAAAAATTCGTATATAACTTTCCTTGATTTTTCGTTAGAGGATGAAACACTTGGTTTTTATCATAGCCGAAGTGCATTTCAAAATCTTACTGCTAGGATTATTACCTTTCTGTTATTCTTTTGAATTTTCTATAGCCTAGCAACCACTGTAACGGAAATGGAAATTGCAATTGCAAAACAGACGCGCAAACACATCGCAGAAATGCGAGTGTGGGAAAAAGTGGGGGAGTTGGAAAACGAGGGTTAAGAAAGGAGTAAGGCAGCTGCCATTGCTGTTGTTGAAGTTTTGCATTTCCGGTATGCAAACACACACACACACACACACATACATATTCTTAGGCAGGGAGAGCGAGAAGGACACAATCTGAAGACGTAACAATGTGTAATTGTTGTTGCCCATTGATAAAGCTTAACAGTCAAAAAAGGCGAGAGGGAAACTTGCCACAGACAAAACTCATTTGCATTTAACACGTTGACACACAGCAGACAGTTACAGTAGCAATCAGCTAAATGCATCTGAGCGATGAAACTTTAACGCTTGATTTAAGCCATATTATACTTTTAAGCTAATTTATCTTTAAGTTTGTTTTAAAATTATAATTTTTCGAATAGTGTTTGAATAAAGAAATATTTTTTTTAACATAGAAAGTCATTTTGTAGCCTACAATTCATTTATTTCCCATATTTTAATAACAAGAATATAGGTTGCAAGTAAATGCCTTTCTTCCCGACATTCATAAAATGTTCACACACAATCCATCTAACCACGCAATGTTAAATATTTTGAAAAGTTAAAGATGTTTTATGTAATATTATTTTCCTTACTTTGGTGTTGCACTGTAATTTACAGAAACAACTTTAAGCTGCACAATAAAAAACGATTTCACCGCAAAATCAACAAAGGACAAAGGCCAACCGAAAGCCTTTGATTACGACTGTTATCATTTGAGCCTGTCCCTTTTTTATTTCACCCACAGACGCACTTCTCTTTTTCATATGGATTTCTTTTCCACTTTGACTGATTGAATTTTCAACGGCGCAACTAATTGTACACTTAACCGAATCAGAGGGCAAAGGCCGAACATAAATAATTAAAGGAGACCGGCCTCCGTGGTGATTCTTTTGGGTTAATTGCAGAGTTAAATGTGAGTTTTACAAAAAGTGTTGCCTACTTAAAAGGGCACACTCGCTGAAAGCGTCCGGACGCGATAACGGTACCAAACAACGACGACGGTTAACGACAACGACAATCGACGAGGACGAACGACGAAGGATAACGCCGCTGATCAGGACATCCGCACCGTTTGAAAGCACGATTTATACTAAATACTGCTTTCGCTTCGGCAAAGGAGTCGGCAAATTGTCAAATTGAATTTCGCACACACAAGCAGAGTCCTTTGGCTAAGGTCCTGCAGGAATTGGCTCTCTGTTTACAGGCGGCAAACGTTGTGTACTAAAAACCAGATTGGATGAATTTATGTTCTCCGGGAAATTCTCTCTCGCTTTCCTTTGACTTCGGCTATACGATTCGTCGTCTCTTCCACATGTTGCCATCATAGCAACCTGTTAGCCTAGCCTTAAATGGACCCAAGGATTGGCAGACTTTAGAAATGATGAATGAAAACCTCTACAATAGGCAAAGTAAGGGTAAGTTGAAAAATTGCTTATAATCCGGCAACATCTTAAGAAAAGTATCATGAGACTGCCATAGTTTGATTAATTTTTATTTTTTAATAAAAAAAAAAGCAAATGTAGTTTTATTTATCATAAAAATATTTTAAAAACCATTTTTTAAACCAAGCTGATGGGAATTTTCCAATTGTTTCAAAGAGAATAATCACCCAAGCAAAAGAGCGCGCATGCGCCTTTCTTATTAACGGTAAACAGGAAATTTTAGTTCTGAAACGGGTAAGGAAAAAAACTTGGTCTAAAATAAACCAAAACAAAAATGTAAACAAAAAAAATACGAATCCTTCAACAATTATTAATTATTAGGTGCTTATTAATAAAGATTACACTTATATAAAAAATATTTTTTAAATAAACACATAAAATTTTGTTTTTAAGGGTTATTCAAAAAATCTAACCTACATATAATTATTTTTATTTTAGATTAGGCTAGTCTCCTGATATAAGACAATATACTATAATTAACGCCAAATTAGTCTAAAAATGAACTCAAAAATAGTTTATTATTCACAAAGAAATCTCTAGAGGAGGTAAGAGTCCACCTATTAATTCAGATCCTTTAGGTAATCTCAACCGCAAGCAGCAACCGACTAACCAACTGATGGACACACAACAAGGATAACAACAAACAACGACAACAACCACAAATGTTGACAACGAACTGTGTGGCCAGCCGAAGAACAAATGCCGGCAACTTTAACCGCGGAAAAGCAACAGAAATCCCAGGGAAAAAAGGAGGAAAACCTTGGTTTAACGGCAAACCCTTTGCAAATACTCTCAAAATGTGTTACTATAAAACGAACTTTTAATTGAATTGAAAAAATGGTGAAAATATATTTTATTAAAATCCTGCAGTTGTTTTAGAAAAATACTTTTATAATGAAAATGGAATTATTTAGTTAGGCAAGCAATTAATATAAAATATACAAAATGCCATAATACCCTCCATAAGGGTATAATTACGCTACGAAAAGCCATGAATGGGGCAAGTTCGAGTTTAAATGGAATGTTTCCAGCATCATCAGCAACAACAATGCGAATGGGAACTGAATGTGGCGATGTTGAACCTAGACGACAATAAATACGCAACAAAAACTACAATAATAATGGGAGGGGAGGGGAGGGGGAAAGCGGGGGTAATCAGGTGGGAGGGGTTTGGCTGGGGCTGGGAAATCCGAGGTGGGAGAACAGCGGCCATAGCATCCCTCTCAGTCACACTCCCCCAGCCATATCATCGCCGCATCATGATGTAAAAACTTTCCCGGCTCCCCGCTTTAACCCGTAGGAAAACCTCTAACCCAAAAGCCCCAGACCTCCGATTTTCCACCTCTCCTAACGGGAGAGTCTGCCCTTTAACAGAATTTTTGTTTACAAACTTTTGCTTGTTTGTATATTCTACCCGAGCGGCGGATAAGGGGAAAGGCAAAGGACCTCAAGCCCTGTCCACAAAGGACTCCATACCCTCCGCCCCCCCCTCACATTTCCCCGCTCAGTTGACTTTTTCTGCGGCGACGCGACGCCCGCTAAAGTTGCGAAAATTTCGTTGTTTTCTGTTACTTTTTTCCCTCCGTCGCTTAACAAGAAAATTCCTGATGCGATTATGAGGCTCTTGTTAAGGTGAGCCAGAAAAATGGGAGGCAGAACCAGATCGCATGACACAGAGAGTGGAAATTCCTTTGTGGTTGCTGCGGTCTGCCAGAGCTAAAATATTGATATTATGTTGAGCAACAAATTTAATAAACACTAAGTATTGGTGACGCAAGATATGTCTTAAAATGAATTTGTGTACAAACGATTTAAGTAACTCAACAGACAAAACTGATTCGCAAATGGAGATTTATCGATATAAATTGTTGATATAGTAGCCCAATTTAAAATGTTTTTAAAATGTTGTTTTATTAACAATGATTATACAAAAATATTTAAAATTCCACTATTTATAATTAGTGCTTTGTTCCTTATTTTAAAGATTCCGCCACATTTTATTTTCAAATATACAAATTTCAAATTGGTTTTTATCAACTCAGTAATACGTTCAATTTTCAAAACCACACTCACCTAAAACACAAAGAACGAATCAATTAACTGGATCAGAGCGGATACTAGCAAACGCAGCCCCATAAAAGGATCAAATTTCGAATGGCGGAGCTCCTTGAGAACCCAATAAACTTCTTGACCAACTGCAAAGGGCGACCGCAGGAAAATGCACTCAAAAGTCTAGGTGACATCGCATACCGCCCACTCCGAGGAGCGACCACACAATGCAATAACGCCGACAGATTACAAAGTGCACATGTGGTAAGCTCCCGAAGTGCTGGTCGCGATGGGAAGGAAGGGGATGCCGAAGGAGATGGGTCCTGGAAATCCATGTAAGGAACAACAGGAACAAAGCACTTGGAACCTTGCGGTGAAAACCTTTGGCTCTTTTGCTCTCCAATGCCCTTTCATCGGCCAATAAACTTTTCTGGTTCAGAGGATGACTCTATTAATACCTTAATGTACGTGATAAATACACTAAAGATTCCCTTACATTTTGTTTACAAATATACAAATTTTAAATTGGTTTCTATTAACCCATTATCCCCACATAACCAGCTCTTACAAAATATCTTTTTGAACCAGGGTTTTAATAAATAAGTTAGTTTGCTTTATATATTTTTAAAAGAAGTATCAGTTTAATTTTTCTGCTTGCGCTAATTTATATAAATTTTACTTTGGATTTATATTTAAAAAAACATAATGTTACGTCTTTTACATATTATAATTTAATAGAACAGTAAAAACTTTTAGGGCACGTATGAGATTGGTTAAAAAAAGGCTCTTTTTAAATGAAAGTAACATATTTCATACATGCCATTTGACTTAATAATTTATTTATTTGTACACGTAGCTTAAGAGTTTTTAAGTTTTTTTTAAGTTTTTAAATATCTATTGCTTAGAGGGTATTTATAGAGTCGTGTCTGTTCTAATATTTCTTCTTTTATTTGGGCGGCATTTTGCAGAACTCCATTAAGTTGACGCGAAGAACTTTGCGTTTGTGGTCGCTGCTTGTTGCTCGTAGTGCTGTTCTTGTTGTTTGGAGTGTGTCCAAAATGTGTCGTTGTCTCTATGAAGGGACTGTCCCCCCACCCAACCTTCCAATGGAGAAAAGGCAGTGGGAGGAGGTCAACAAAGAGCCTTCTCATATACATGTTTATACACAGGGACAGTCAAACGTCCACCAGGCAGGACATTCCCCTCCTTTTCAGAACACCCAACTTCCATGGACTCACAAACTTAGTCTCCATTCATATGACTGACCTGTGACAACATCAACCCATCATAACCAACCTGGCAAGTTGATTTGGTAATGAAAAGTTGACATTAGAAATTTTTTCCTTATAAAAGTTGCAAAAAAAATGCTTTAAGTAATTACATTTCAACTTGAAACTTAGCTTTGATGTACGAAAAGGATGATGACCAGTAAAAGGTTTAAATGGAAAATAACTAGCTCTGAAGCCCAGGTGTATTTTTTAATGCGACAAAAAGGAAGTGAATTGCAAGAGACCTTTTCCTTCTTCTCCCTTTTTTTTTTTTTTGAGCCAGCCCATCCACTCCAATAAGCTGCTGCCGGAAAAATGGTTGCAAAAGGCCTTTCACAAAAAATATCAACGCACCCTGTGGGAAGAAGAGTAAGCGGATGAATCTGCCACACTGGGGGAACAAGGACATTGAATAGGGGAAACAGCTGAAGGATGAACCGTCTCCACATACACAAAACAGATAAATGGTAGCAAGTTTTTAACAAAACCAGCGGAACGGGCAGTGCATTGAGCTCAGACATTTCCTGGCCCATGCATCCCCAAAGAAAATAAGACCAAAAGAGGCTTACTCGATTTCAGGATACCCGGTGAGTTCTTAAAATAAAAATTAAAATAAAAATGTATATATAACACAATAATTGGGTTTCAGTTACAAAACAAGTTGTAAGTTACAAGTAAAATGTGTAAGCATTATTTGAGTTATCTTTACTACAAAAGTTGGTGTTTCCAATATAAATATTAAACAATATAAGTTTGTGCTGCACAAAAATAGTTTAATTTTTGTACTTACTTATATGCTAAGTAAATTCTTGATATTCTTATTATCTAACACTTATATTTCAGTTAGAGCTTAAGCGAATTTCATTAATTTTTGTATTATCAAATAAAAAATACCCTTTAAATTATTAATTAAAGGGTATCCCAAGTAAGCAAGAACGACAACATGTAAAATTATGCGTCAGTAGGAAGGAAAAGTTTACGGGGTGACCCCTAACGCAGTCGTAGGAAAAGCAGAATCGCAGACGGAGACGAGGTCCAAGTGCATTCATTGTCCCTCAGACTCACACAGAGATAAAGAGAAAATCCCGGGGGAAGATGGAAAAGCGGCGGGGAAATGGCAAGAAGGAGACAGGAACGAGCACGCAAATATGGCAAAGCTTGCAGAGACAACAAACAGGAAGTACGCATTTCCTGCACTCGAGGAAAGAAAATAAAATAAAAACAGTCCAAGGACTAGGAATGGCTGGAAAAAGGTGGGGAAATCTGGGTAGGAAGCTGGGCAGAGAAAAACGCAGGCGAGACGCAGTAGAAATGTCGCGACGACAACTTTTTGACACAAGAGTGCCTGGAAAACAGTTTTTCTTTAGTTTCCCCAGCCAGTCGCCCTTCGCCGTGAAATTAATTGAAACCGACTAGACCTCTGGGGAGGTGGTGAATGAATGAGTGGGGACGCAGACTTGATCTTGACACTGTCCCCTGGCGGTGTCCCTGAACTTGCCAAACAGTACACCAACATTATGCCCCCTCAAAGTCCAAGAAACCCTACGAATTTTAACGACACGGTGGCCACTCCCTTTTGCGTAAATGCCAAATTGCATTAAGTTGTAAAAATGCATAAAGCATGAATTGAAAAAAAAAACAGCAAAAATTTAAAAAAGTCCATATTATTCTCGCTATTATTATTTGTCACGAATTTTAGATTTTGATTCAAAATATATATAATTCATAAAATAAATTACCGATGGAATTTATTATTATTATATTTCCCCAAGATATTATTCGGTATAAAAAATTATATATTTTAAATTTAATTTGTAAAAGGGTGTTATATGTATAAAGTATTACAAATGAAGTATGTAGTTAGGTTATCACGAAAAAAAAAAAATGAAAAAAAAATAATTGTTTTAAAAATTTTCAAGGAATTTCAAAAATATTTAAATTTATAATTTAGATTTATTTATTTAAATTTAAATATACTTATTTAAGTTTAAATGTAAATTTATTTATTATTTTTAAATCCTCAAAAAGTTAAGAATTTTGAATTTAAATCTCCAATTTTGCTGTGCATTATTTGACCACTCAGCATTTCTGGTCACCTTCCCCACCAAATGAGTTTCGTGTCACAAGTTGACCCGGCCGAGATTAAGTGGGCGTTTAATTTGCCAACTCCCACCCCCCTTTCCTCCCCCGAAAAGCCAGAACCCCACCACCTCAGGCCACCCTTAGGTTTCCCCACTTCCCACAACACCCTCGTCTATGAAAATACTGCGTTAATGTAATCCACGCTCTTGGCATTTCCGTATGCTGCCGTTTGCTTTTCTTCGTCGCTTTTTATTTTCGGCAGTTTTTTGTGCAGAGCTTTGTCCTTGGCAGTTGCCTCGTAACTTTGCCACTTGGCTGATCTCTCTCTCTCTTCCCCGCTGTTATGCTATTTTAGCTTAATCAACAAAGTAAATAAAATGTCCTGGCGACTGACCCCTGGTCGGAGGTAATTTTCTGGCATTTTTTTATGAAGTCACGAGGCTTAATAACTTACATACACAAATATGTATTTTCGAATAAATTTGGGATTACTTCTGGGCATAAATATGGCTTACTATGAAAAACCAATTTGGTTAAGCTAAGTAAATGGCAAAATCATAATAAATAAGAAATTATATTAAAGAATTTATATAGAAGCATCCACAACTCATTAAGTTCCTTTGAATTCTGCATGCACATGCTACCACGGAAAAATCAGAACTAAATCAGGCGAACTTGCTTTGATGTGCAATAACAATATGCCGCATATGCGGAGGAAAATGAGGAGCTAAAGCAAACCAAACTGTGAATTGAAAGCCGAGCTTCCCTGGCCCTCTCCTGCGATATCCTGTATTGCAAGGAGTTAGTTGTCAACACGGTCCCACGTAATTATAGAGTTGCAGGGCTCACACAACGCCACACGAACTCGTACAGTTATGGGAAAATTAATAACACTAGGTATTTAAAACCACAATGTTACTATTTGATGTATAATATAGAGGTTGATCATGGGAAATTTAATTTTTAAAATAACCTTGATGATTGGTTAGGCAGTAAAAGTATTCCAAATTCAAATAGGCTTATTAAACATGTATTTTCAACTGTTTATTTTATTTCATTTCAAACTAGATATTATGGTTTTAAATAGCATTAAGCTTGAAATAAAGAGAACTTAATATTTATGAACTATTATTTGAACCATGAATGTATCGCACACCGAGACACATTTCATTTGCTTTCTAATAATTTCTGTGGAAAATTCCGATTGCACATGTGGGACTTTATATTGGCAGCACTGTGTGGAAACCAATTAAAATGCTGCACTGGCTCTGATTATGGCAAACGACAACGTTGTGGAGGGAGTGGTGTGTGTGTGTATGGGTGTGTGGGTGTGGTGTGAATAGATTGGTATGTGTCAACTAAGTGCAGTTAATTAGTGCGAAAATCACTTCAGTTGGCTTGGGATATTTTTGTCCGCTCTCTCCGCTCTCGGATTTCTTTTAAGCTTTCTCCTGCTGTTGTTGTTGTTGCCGCCTCCGCGTCGCAAGGTTTTTCCTTGGCGAATTTTCACGTTAATTGCTCTGCGTCCTGCAATCAGCCGGAAAACAGGAGCAGAAGCCAGGAAAGGCAGCAGCTTGCAAGCGAGCTAAGCCACTCAGGGATTTACTCAATTTGTTGTCACTTCACTTGGTTTTTTATTCGGTTTGTTTTTCCTACACATTCTCAGTTTTTTCTTTTGCTTAAATTGAACAAATATCTTTTACACGCCATAGATGGCAAAAGCATGCATTTAAGAAGGGGATACAAGTTTTAAAAACATCCTCCAAGAATAAATGCAACAAATTTATTGATATATATACTCAAAACAAAAAATTATAAAGCTTTCTTCGAACTACAATTATTTAATTTAAGCCTTAGTAATGATTCAAGAATCAATTGCATTTCAATAACTTATTCAGGAGGCAACGGACTTAAATTTAAGATCAGCCACAAGAGCCACGTGATCTGATGGAAAAACTGCAGATGGAATGGCAGTATTTTCCTTCAACTGCTCCTCTGTTGGCAGGGGAACAGTCTTCAATAGCTCGAATCGATCGTTTTGGTAGAAAATGTAGTCCAAACATCCCGAAAACAGAGTGGTGTAATGTGTGAACTCCGGTGCACCATATGCTGATCCCATTTTAAAGGGCTGAGTGAGCTCCACATTGGAAACGGCTTCTTCGGAATTGCTGCGCCAGTCTTCCAGATTCTTTTCCGCCAATTGCTCGGTCATCAACTTGTAGATTCCACATTCGGGAACGCTGTTAAAATCGCCGCAAAACACCAGTCCAATATTTTGGGGGCTGCTGATATTGAAGTCCTTTACAGCTTTACTTATTAATTCCTCAACAAAGAGTATAGAAAAACCCATTTGCAAGAGTCGAATGTGATCTGCATCCGGGTGGAAATATAAATGCGTGTTGGCCACAAGAACGTAATTGTCGGTTCCCTTGATTTTTAACAAACATGTTTGCAGAGTTGTGGAACGATCACAAATTCGTTGTGCTAACTGAGTATTCACTTTGATCTTATTCCAGAGGCTCTCAAAAACAGGAAGTTCAGGGATACTAGATCCTAAATGCAGAACTTGGGAATCCAGTAATTCAAAGCGAGAAGTTCGAAAGAAAATCGCAACTCCCTCTGCACATTTTCCTTTCGGAGCTAAAATGCCGTGAAAATTATAAGGAGGTTGCTCTAGAATTTCCTTCAAATCAAAATCAAAAATACGTTGATCCACTTCTTGCAGGCAGATAATATCTGAGTTATAGCCTATTATCTCGTTTATAAAGAGTGGCTTTCTGTAGTCGATTTGAAGATATTTGGCTGGGCAGTATGAGAATAATGTTGACCCGGCGTAGTCACTACTGGCATATAAATCCGCCAATAGATTGTAGGATATCACTCGCATTTCATTGGGGTTTGTCAAATAACTTGGAGTATATTTTTGACGAATTTGAAAAGGGCAAACTCCCGGTGAATCCTGCACAGGAGTAAGGGATACCTTTTCCACCACAGGACCATCCAATCCGTGTTCGTTTCTTGGGGTTACAATCAATTTCAAATGGTATCCAATATCCTTCGGCGTGACGAAATATTGAAAGCCTTCTCCGCAAAGTTCCCATTCGGTGTCGGTGGGTTTTTTCGCCTTGTACCAAACTCCTTTGCTGTGCTTTTGTTCTCCGAATTGAACTTTAACGTTGGTCGGGTAAACCACGAATCCTGCCAAAATGCACGAGGGAAGTTTAAGGGATGAAACCCACGGTGGATTGTACACCATTTCGTAGATGTTATCCATCACCTGCAGCTTGAGACCAGAAATATTTTTGGCAAAGAGTTCAGCGAATGTCATTCCATTAAAGTTTCCTTCGAAATTGTCGCCATAAAGCTTAACATTTATCTCAACAGTTGATTTGTCAGATTTCTTTTTCTTTGACTTCGCAAGTCTGTTTTGGATATTGCTCTGAATCCGGGACAATATAGCTTCGATGGGTTCATCCATTTGACGACGGAAATTAAATTCCCGGCTTATGTTTAAAGTAGTGTTTTCAAATCGAAACACTATATCCAGATCTTTGCTATCACTTTCATTTCTGAAGTACACTTTTTCCATATTGACAAGGGAATTATTATAAAATCTGGACAAGAATGAACCGTAAGTTGGAGTTATTTCTCTGGAAATTAAATTGGAGCTGCGGAATCTGTTTCTTAAATAACAAACAGCCAGAGTTTTTGCACTTTTGGCAAAACCCATCAATCATGCAACTTTTCAGGTTTGCAGGGTAAACGAAGATCGGTTCTCAATGGTAACCAAGTAGACGCCTTTTGTTTACTTATTTTCAGCCGGTTTATCTACAAAATATTTGTGTTAACTGAGTTTATGGAGTGCACAGACTTAATATAAACTCACTTATTGAAGGTTTATGCAAATCAACGCTTTTTTCCACTCTTTTTCAGTTTATAAACATTGCCCGCAGCGAAACAACATCACTTTCGTGTGCAGAAAACGGGGAAAACGGCTGCGATTCCGATAAAACTAAGAGAGTTTTTCACTTTTACGCTCTGCCACGCTGCGATCAGCTGTTCTGTTTGCCATTCACCCCGAAAGAAACCACATGCGCCGCATAGACAACAGCTGATCTTGAAAAAACTTTCGACAATAAGTGCTAAGCGAAAAGCTTCGCGGCAAAAGCTTTTATACACCAGCTGTTATACTTTAAATTCGAAATCATAGAAGTTTTTGAATTTAAAGTTATCATAACTGATCAAAATGTAAATAGATTCGGTTTTTCTTGTCGAATATGTACACATAAAATATTGCACACTAAAACTATTAGAGCAAAGAAAAAAGTGTTATATACAAAATATCTCTTGAAACTGGTTTTATTCTCAATATTTTTAGTTTCTTTTTTCCAGTGTATGACCTGTTTAAATGAAATAAATGGAATACTTCTAAAAAGCATTAAATATTGACAATCGCATATTTAACCTTAAAAACTTCACACGATACATTTTGAGACGAAGTAGCCTTTTAATTTTGTCATGGGGAGACGTTTTAAATAAGAATGTAAATTTATATTTTTTTTTACCATTTTTTTTTTTTGCCATTTTTCTGTACCTTTTAACATGCAAAAATTCTACGTGTGCTCCAAACTTTATCATTTTTTTACAGTATCTTTTGCACAGGCACCTTTCCCCTTTCACTGAGTTGCATATGCCAAATATCTCTAAAAGCGTTCTCCTAAAGTCCTTATTATTCTCAAAATAACTTGCCAACTCAACTATAAAACCTCCGATTTCACCTAAGGCGAAACTCTCCTCATGGCAAATACTATAAACATTAAACTAAGTGTTACGATCCAAATGAGACATGTTCTCCGTAAGAAACTAAACTTTGGCCAAGGTGGGAAATGACAACTGAGACGCCGGCCATAAAAATGCGAAACAGAAGCCAGATCATATGGGAAAGGTGTGCTTGAAAATAGGGGGAGGAAATGGAAAAGGAGCACAAGTGCATAAAAAGCAGGAAGAAGCCAAGAGATGACTTGGCCAGGGCCAAAAAAGAATTGGCTTGGCCCCGAAACAGAGTCAACAACTGTGCGCCACACAAGAGTTTGCCAAAAAGATTGCAATACGGCAAAAAAAAAAAAAAAAAAAGAAAAAAAATCAAAAACAAAACGGAGGAAAATCGTATAAAACTCTAGAAAGGACACGGCGGACCGAAAAGGACAACAACATGACGGGGCCGGCAAACGAAACCAATTGAAGAAATGTTGCTGACACCAAAAACGAAACTGCAGGAAGACGCCGATGATGAGGATGAGCCTGGGAATGAGGCTAAGCTCGAGGATGCAGGGAATATCCTTGGGCCCGGGGACGTGGAGCGGAAGCGGTAAGGACAACAACGAAATTAGTTAGCACTTGAGAGAAAGCAGCTTTGGCTCAGGTCCAGGACTCGTTGCTGGCTTACAGCACCTGAGGGCAAAGAAGGACTCCCGGCCCTCCTTCCTTATTGACCCCAACTAGAGATGAACCAAAGGCAAAAGCTTCGATTGAGCACGGGAACTTGGTCAAGGATTAAGACTTAAAAGTTTGCAGCGAACAAAAATTTATAACATGCTGTAGTACAGAACAACGTTTCAACATTTAGAATAAATTTCTGTAAAAAAAAAAAAAATATATTTTAAATTCCTTAAGCATAAGCATAATTTAGAGTTTTAAAAAATAAAAAAGTCAAATATTTACAATTTCTTAGTAGGGTTAATTATCATAACACAAATTATTTGTAAATCCAAAGTACGCAAAGTAGATTCTTTATTTAAAAATGGAAAAACTATTGTACTCATATTAGATCAGCTTCCGTTATGTACAGAGTTTTTAAAATTAACCACAATCAATTGTGATATTTCTTTAAAATGTTTTTGTTAACTTAAGCGGAGACCAATAGAAAAGTTTTGTAAGTTTAAAATACCAAAAAAAAAAAAATATAAATTTACTTCATTGCATTGCAATAAAGTTTTTGGTTAAATGCAGTAAAAATATAATATAGGTAAGGGATCAACTGTCATTCAGTGTTTAAAACTAAGGTTTCTAATTTAACATCAAAATTAAGTGAAAACTAGTTTCACCTCCGATCGGCCATCTCTAAGCAAAACTAGTGAACCAAGATCTGGGAGGCAGGCAGCAATTAAATAGCTTCGAGCCCTCGGAACTCAATTGCAGCAATTTCAATAACTGTTGAGAACACTCAAAGGACGAAGGGTCGGCCAGGTCCTTGCGATAATCTGTCATGCAGTCGAGTCGGGGGCACCCCAAGAACCCTGTCGAACCGAAATCACCCCGCACACAGGACTCACTCCTCCTTTCACTCCAACGACAACTACAATATCCGCTTTTGGTCTCGACACTCGAGCAACTTTCTCGCACTCACCTATTTCACTTGCTGCAGGAATTTGTGATATTTCTTTTTTTTCTCCTTTACACTTGTAAAATTTGTAGCCGAAAGCAGATAACTGGGCTATTTCATTTGTAGTTTTCTGGGAAAAACTACCTTATGTATATTCTTTTTTTTTAATAGATTTTTAATATTTATAGATAAAAGCATTAAACGTGACGCGGTACGGCCGAAAAGTAAACACACTGATAATTTTGCCACCAAGAAGCCGAAAATTGATGAACTTTTATAAAATTATATGTACGCGACACAATCTGATTTAGAAACACTACAACTAAAATTTATTTCAATATTGACACTATTTGACAAGTTTTAAAGTCAGCCGCTAAGCCAACTTCGATCGACATTCTTACGATGTCATTTAAATGGTAATTAAGGTATTAGATCAATGCTGCAAAGAAAATGTATTAATGATTTATATTATTTTCAAATAAGTAATATTGATTTTTCTTGTTTAGCAAGTCATCTCCAATAAAACCAATTATTCACGCACGAAATATCACGGAGATGAAATAAAGTTCTTTATAGAAGTAAATTGGTTCTTTTTATTGATTACCAACTCTGTCTCCTTGTTCGATAAGCCTACCGTTCGTTTGACATTAAAATCAAATGAATCAACAAATATAAAAGTTTTGCCAAGAAAGTCATTTGCTAAAATTGGCGAATCGCAAAAGAAAGTCAGGAGGGTAAGCGAAAAACCCCCAAGAAATTCAATGAGGCTGAAAATTTCCTGGCTCGATGCCAGTCGAAGGCAACGAAACAAAACAAAACTCACGTTTCTAATCAATTAAAAAATACAACGCCAGGGGGCAGAAAATCAAGAGTGGGAACGCTTTTCGGCAATAAATAAATTACAACCAGCAGGCAGTCAAAGCGATTAAATAGAAGAGGGCGAAATGCAAAGGGAGCGGACTCCAAGAAAGTACAAAACTTCACTACGTCTGCTGCAATTTTAATTACAAGTGCGATAAGAGCAGGACGAAAGTAATAGAAAGGCGCAATGAAAGCCAGTCTGTAAAATAAATGTTCGTTTGGACTATCTAATTACCAGTATCTTCATACAATTTGTAAAACACCTGAAGGTTCTATTGTATCCGCATCTTGAACTCTTTTCAGCCAATAAAATTGTGAACTAAAGTTTTGGTTTTATTTTTAAATATATTTTTTAAATTTATTAAATAACTACATGATAGTTTTTTAAAAACTTTGCAAACGATTTAATCATTACTTGAAGTATCTACACAGATGGAAAAATATTTATTTCAAGAATCAACCCATTTGTAATAAATAACTTAAATATTAAAAGCAATATATTTTAGATAAATATGAATTGCATATAAAAATAATGTTTTCAATAAATTGATATAGCTTTTTAAAAATGCCAAGATCAAAACTCAAACTTTAATATTACAGGGTGCAACACGGCGAAAGGAAGCTCAGCTAATCCTTGGCAAGGACTTTGACAGTTGTCTTAGCTTGCAGAACAACAGCAACAAAAACAATAACATCTTCATCATCATCATTATTTCCAGCATTGTGGGATGGAGAGAAGCACAATAAACAAGAGCAAACTGAAAAACAACAAACATTATCGCACATCATTATCGTTGTCATTCAGGGAGCGTTCCAGCTTAAAAACCCGCCCACCCCGCAGTCTCCTATCTCCTATATATACATATATATATCTGCTTTATTTTTGTGTTTAGTTAGTTTTTATGAGCGTCATTATTTTCGCTTGCCATGGCGCTAAGCATCTTAAGTGGCATCTCCCCCGCATTTCTCCCCATTTTTTGGCCAAGCTCTTTGCTTGTGTGTGTTTGTTTGCATAGGCGCAAAACGTCTTCGTCAACTTTTGACGATTTTATAATTTAACTTTTGCCGGAAGCTCCTGCTGCTCCAGCCCCCATCGCCATCGCCATCCTGTTTTTCCCCCTTGCTAGTTTCGAAAACAACTTAATAATAAGTGAGTGTTGAGTTGGAGAAAAGTTGACTTGGTTAGAGAAAGACGGCTGCAATTAAGGTGGCCGGAGTGAGTCAGTCGGTTTTTGTTTGGTCTTTTCGGGCCAGGCAATTATTATAAGGGATCCATGGTGAGCTGCATTTAGAAAGTTTTCGGTGCGGAAATAATTGTCAAGGATAACCATGGCAATTGTGAGGAAGGACTGCAAAGCTAAAATGGAATGTCAATGCAAGCTTCATTGTTTTCAGTAGAAGCCAGGACTTTTAATTAAATACACACTAAATAGGGGCACCACAAAAGCATAATTTTATTGTTTTACTATTGTGAAGTAATTTTAGTCCAATTGTCAAAGTCATGTTATAGTAAAGTTTACAACTATTTGCAACATTAGTAAATTAAACAAATATATATCAACACTTCATTACTCTCGGAAATAATTAAATTTAAAATTAAAATTTTTAATAAATGTAGTCCCAAAATAAAACAATTCAAATTGAGGATAGCTAATTTTATACGATGTTCTTTTTAAACTCTATATTTATCTTTCCTATTTGAGGAACATACCCCAATGACATTTAAAATGCTTCTCAAGATAGCCAAATAAATTAATCAATTTAGAGATGATACAATTTTCTATTGTCCTGAATTTTTTTGTGAGAACTGACAAGTTGTTCTCCCTATTTCCCGTTGCACAGCTAAGTTAACTCACCTGTTAACTTAACTCGAGGCTCAAATGTTACTCAACAACTCCTAAACTTAATTTAAGGCTTAAAAGTTTATTCTAAGTTGACTAATACTGTAAGGGCAAGAAAGGAACATC